GCCGGCCGTCGGGACCTTGGCGTTGAGCAGCCGCCCTCCGAGCCGGCTGAAAGCACCGCATCTGGCCTTTCCGTGCGTTTCTGCAGGTTTACGATGACGAAGACTACAGGAGGGTTCGGTTCGTAGGTCGCCAGAAGGAGGTGAGTGGACGGATCGGCAGCCGGGCGACGCTCTCCAGCCTCCCGAGACGCCCTAGCCCGCGAGTGAGCGCAGAGGGAGGCCCGCAGGAGCCCTGGCGGCGCCGCAGCCTCACGTCTGCTGCCTTCCTCCCAGCTCCTCGGGCACGGGAGCTCACGCCCTGCTTGTGTGTAGCGGGGAGACCGTCGCCCCCTCTGCGCCTCCTACCGCAGGGGCCCCGGATGGAAGGAAGTCTCCCGCTGTAAACAGCAGTCCCCCTCGGCCCGGGCTAGCTCTGGCTGCGTTCTCCGGGGACTTGGAGTGACCGCTGGAGATGCAGCCCTGCGCCCCGCGGCCTGATACCCCCCTGGTCAGGAAGGTGCTGGCGGCCCTTCTTACGCCTGTGTTCTTGCCCAGCGTGTGCCCCTTAGCCTGGCGTGCCATGGGCTACCCTGGGTCAGTCCTCTTTCCTGGGTCAGCCTGGCCGCCCGGAGTCCCCTTTGCCCTCACTTCGTCCTTTTCCTTCCTAGGGGCTGCTTCTCTGCTGTCTGGAGCTCCAGGCATTCTGGGGAACCTCAGGGGTCAGGAACTGGTTGACAGGAAATCAGTTCTCAAGGCCCAGCCGGTCCCTGCTGCGGCACCTGTCGGTTGGGTGGCAGAGTGCGTGCTGAGCCTGGGGCCAGCAGGCAGTGCTGGCCCTGCTGGGCTGTCCCAGGCAAGGCGGGAGCATGCATGGCTTCTAGGCGGTCTGTGGGCCCCGAGGAAGGTGTGGGTTGTGGCCTGAAAGCCGGCGCGTGCCTGGCAGTGTCATGGCGCTCTGAGGGTGGGTTTCTCCCTGGGGAAATGCACACGTGTGAGCGTGCCCCCTGGATCCCACGGCACGTCCCAGGCCATGCTGCCGGCCGTGCAGTGCCCTCTGACGGCCTCTGCGCTCACAGTGGCTGGAGTCCAGCCATGGTAGCCTCCCTTCATCCCTGCTCCCCCCAGGCCCATGGCCCAGAGCTGGGAAGGGGACCTGTCTCTATGTGCCATCTGGTGCTGGGTAGATGTGTCAGTGGCAGCGCACATCCAGGAGGTGGAGGTGCAGGGTCCGGGCATGCGTCCGTTGCCGGGGCAGTGGCTGGGCTGCACACTGCACGCTCTGCTTTCAAGCTCGTGGGTAGCCAGCTAGTGGGGGTGGCCCTGGGATGAGTAGTTCGAGCTGATGGGTCCTGAAGCCCAGCTCTTCGGCTCAGCTCGTAGGACGGCCCAGCAGCACGGCTCCCAGGCTGGGACGGGGCGGGCCCGGACGGCACAAGCGCCTCTGCTGGCACCCTTTTGCAGCTTTGGCGAGGGTGGCAGGGAGTGACAAGACTGAAACCACCGATCAAGTGACTGAGGCAGTGAGAGCGGTAGGGGGCGGGCTCACCCGGCCCTGTCCCGGTCAGGCCTGCTCCTGGCACAGGGATGGCCTGGCGTGGGGATCCCGTCAGTCATCGGCACAGGGATGGCGCTGCCTTTCCCGCTGAGCCCTACATGGCACGTGTTCAGGTCAGGAGGCAGGTGTGGCTGTGGCTGAGGGGTACCCTGCTGGCCCTCGGTTAGCGGGAGCTTCGCGGTCCGTAGCAGGTCCCGCTGTTTGGCTTTCCGGAGGCCGCTTCTGGGACACCGCCAAGGAAGCAGGTCCGCGGCTGCCCTCACGCGGGTCCTGCTACTGCCGGCAGTCGTCAGGGCTGCACCAGCCCGAAGGCTGTGGTCAGCCGGGCTCCCGGCCCACACCAGGCTCCCCGCCGGCGCCTTCCACCTGTGGGTTCCCACCTGCGTGCACCACAGTTCGGAGCGGAGAGGAGGGGCCGTTGTGGGCAGGGCAGGGTTCTGGAGAGTGGGCAGCCATGACTCTTGTGGCCCCGCGCTGCACACTGGAGGACGGCCAGGGTGGCATTTGCCGTGGTTACCTCCGGGGAGTCGGGGGACCCGCTGTGTCCCAGGCTCTTGGGACCAGTGCCCGTTCCTGTTTCTTCAGGAGGGACAGCGGCTGACAGGGTGACTCCGCATGGCTCAGGGCTCACGGCACCCACTGGAGCCCTGCACGTGCTGAGGAGGTCGATTGTGAGTGGTCACCCCGGTGGGGACTGACCTCCGACACGGCCTGTTGCTGTCTGTCGTGGTCTGATGTGCACGCAGCACGCGTGGCCATGGGCATGGGAGAGCCAACGGGCCACGGTGGGGCCGTGATGAGTGTCGGCGGTAGCTTCCAGATGCACTGTCCTGGGGTCGGTCGGGGACAGCATGGCCATGGAGGAGGATCCTGGGCCAGAGCTGCTGGCCGGGGCCAGGAGTGGCTCGGGGCCTTCCCGGTGCCCTGCCACCTCACGTCCTCCCAGTTCACGCCTCGTCCTGGGGTGGGCTGGGCTTTCTGACCGGGGCTGCCTCCAGGAGGCCTCGCGCTGTCAGGGCACAGTTATGAGAGGTTGCCGCACCCCCACGACCTGAAAGAGGACTCCTGGGTCAGACACCGGGGTGCTCGGTGGACCAGCTGCCCAGCCTGTGCTGTGACCTTCCCCTGGTGGAGGGGGTCCAGTGCCCCCCCATGTCATCTATGATGTTCGAGGTGCCCAGAAAGCAGCGGTGGGCACCATCAGCCCCAGGCCTGGATTTAGAGCATTTCCTACAGTTTAGGGATGATTTTGAAGAACTTGAGCTTTCCCCGTGTTTTAAACGCTGCATGCATGTGTATGTACGTGTGAACTACACGCGTACGTGTGTTTAGCCAACTGTGACGAGCGGTGTTGGTAAAATAGCCGGCCCTGAACAGGAGAGCCGGTGTGCAGTTGCTCTGAACTCGCACATCGCACGTCTGGCAGCTCGTGGCCCGGCCGAGTAAGGGAGTCGGTGTCCACAGGAGCGGCCGAGGTGGGCGAGCCTAATCCAGAGCAGTGTACTGGCCGGCGGGCTTTCCCCACGCGGTCCGCAGGTAGATACGGGGTTTCTGACTCAGGCCACGGCCATGGGCAGCTGGGGTCTGAGGCTGTGCTGCTCACGTGCATTTCTCCCGTTTGCACCACATCCACCTGCTCAAGGCCGAGCGGGGAGCTGAGCGCCGCGGGGACCAGGCGTTAACGAGGGGATCAAGTCACTCTGGAGACCCCGTGCAGTGACAGAGGCCAGGCTGCAGCAGTCACCCGTGCCGAGCACACTTAGAGATGCCGGCTGCCCTTCCCGCGAGGAGGCGGCTGTTCTCTGTCGCCAAGATCAGGCAGCGTCTGTGTCGGGGCCGTCCTGGGCGCCACTCTCTGGCTAGTCGCTTGTCTGTGGAGGGCAAGCAGGGCACCCCTTGCTTCCTGGCCGGGCGCAGCGGGGGGGTGGGGCCCAGCCGCTACAGGCAGGGGGCTCCGGGCGGATGACAAGTGGTCCACATCCCGCGCAGCGTGGGGTTTGCCCGCTGGTGGCTCTGTTTGCCTTCTCACTGCCTGTCTGGGGATAGAACTTGGAGGGAAAGCCTTACAAACAGGTCGTTGCGGAATGATTCTGTGTCTGGGACGAAGGCCCCGGGTGTTAGGCCTGTCCTTCTGACAGAGAACTGGGGAGTGAGGCTGGGCACTGGCCTGCTGCCTTCTGACTGTCAGCTGGCTTTCGGGAGACAGCGAAGGGGGTCGGCTCTGCGCTTGTGGTGTTTTTGCAAATTCATTTATTTCTCCCAAGAGCGAGAGAAAGAGCACGAGAGGTGGCACCCTATGTAGGGCCCCCACGACCCCCAGCCTGCCCAGGAGCACTGCCAGGCCTGCCTGTGTGCCTGGGGTCTCCTGGGTGCTGCAGCCTCATGGGGCTTCAGCCTCCAGTCACACCC